TTATGGTCCCCTTTTGGGTACCTATTAAATTATAGTACGGTACCTAATATTTATGGAACCCTTGATTTTGACAACCACCCATATATCAATTGGGGGCATGTTGATCCCTAATCCCAAGCTCTTCGGCTTTATACTGGACCATAGCTCCTTAAGCAGGAGTGGCCTACGAAAGCTCAAAGCAAACAGCCTTTTCTGCCACAAGGCCAAAAATTGCCGGCCCTCCTAACCCCCCCTATTAACCTACTTACTATAGTCCATACAGAACCCCTAAACCCTTAAACCCCCAAACCCCTTAACCCTAAACCCCTAAACCCTAAACCCCAAACCCCCTAAACCGACAGAAAGCCACCTTGGAGGTGAAAGTAGTATCAGGCCGAAAAAAACCGTTTTGGTGTGCAAGGGATGTCGCATAGGGCTATTTTGAGTTGGTGTTCAGGGTTTAGGGTTTAACTGTACTATACCAATTCCGAAGGAGAGGCTTACCAGCAGTTCAGACCCAGTCCAAGCCGCCGACACGCTGCTCAGGTGGGCGCCGGGTAGACGGTGCAGCCAGTCTCAGATCATCCGAAGCAGGCACAGGCTCTGTCTCAACCGCCGTTTCCCTCAAAGTCCGAGATAACGTACAATGCCATGTAGCCGTGCTGTACCTCCAGGGTCCGGGCTGTTACTAAAGTGCCGGGCCGAGAATCCAAGGCAGGAGAAGTAGAAGTACTATGGGTGGCCTTGATCATATTACAGGGTTAGGTGGGGATATAAGTAGTGCTTAATCTGTTTTAGTTGGGGTATAAGTAGTGCTTAATTTGTTTTACAGCGGTTGCCTGCCTTGCGCTGTTAGTCGCTGGTGATGACCCTATACGCCTAAACTCTAGACTCTAAACCCTTATCAAAAAATCTGAGCTCTAGACTCTAAGCCCTAAACTCTAAACCCTGAACTGTAGACTCTAAACCCCTAGGCCCTAAGACCCTAAGATGAGGAAATTTCTGGTCTGTAGGTCAAGAACTGAACATTTTGCTGGAACCCGTACCGTTGTGACAAGCACTGGCAGAAGGCGAATTGAGTAGTGGCAACAAACCCGAACCTTTTCAAGAGTACCACGAGCTTTGTTCTCAGCGCATGAAGCATTATGATATGACTCCCCCGCAGGTTCCATCATTGTCATCAACAGCAACAGCAAAAATATCATAATTAATCGTCCTCTCAGCTCAGCATCATCTGTAAACCACCATCATCATCATCATTGCCACGCAAACGACCACCGCAGCCGCCACACCCAGTACTCAAAAGCAGCCACGGTCAGAAGCAGATCAGCGACAACAGCGACAACAGCAGCATCGCGACTTAGATGGTCACCAAAGCAGCGTAAATGAGACAAATCTTGACGTCGCTGGGAACGCAATGAGCACCAGACCATACTAGACCCTAAACTCGTTCAAACCGTCAAAGCCCTGAACCCTATGACTGAAAACTGTAACCCTCGAGACATGATGAGTGTATATGATAGAACTACCGCTTATCCCATTCAATGATAATTCCGTAAATGAGGCTTTACTCATACCCTAAGCCCCTGAGCAGTAAACTGTACCCAAAGCTCCTAAGCCCTAGACAGTAAGCCCCTAAGCCTTAAACTCTAAGCCTCAAGCCTTAAGCCCTAAGCCCCCCAACCGCTAAACTGGCGTACCCGAGAGATGAGGGGAACGAGGAGTTCCGAGGCTATCCTGTCTCACAGTTCCTCCCACGAAGATGGCAAGAAGGGATTTATGGGTTTAGGAAGGGCTTAAGGTAGAAGCCCAAAAGTTGGAAGCCCAATAGCCTCAATCCTTAAGAGTAATGTATAGGAAATCCCAGCACTATTTGGCCTTAATCCGGGTTCCAACTTTATGGGGTTTACTGGTGAGTTTAGGGGTTCCTAGGATCCAGTCTGGGGTTCCTTCAAATCCTAGTAGCCTTAATAGTAACCGAAGTTCAGGGTTTAGGGTTTAGGGTTCATTTTGGTTGCCGGGTCCCGTCATTTGGGGGGCTCGGGGCTTTTAAATGGCATATGCAGAACCTATTTGGCTTATATGGATCCCGACCGCCAAGCTTTTTCTGGATATAGGAACTAGGGAACAATGAAGAGAGTTTGGGACGAACTCGCGCATCCCGAAGGCAACCAACGCACTCATCGAACGGAGCAAAAGGAGCTCTGCTTACTAGGATTTCGGACTTCTTGGTGCTGGCCTTGCTGGCCTTAGGCTAAAGTCCTAGTAGTCGAGTAGGTAACCTTTAACCTTTGTTGGGTAGTATAGTCCCTATATACCAAAAAGCTTAACCTTTAGTTCCCATGATGCCCGACAAGTAGGAAGTGATGCTTTAAAACTTCAAACTTTAGGTTCAATTCTTCCGAGAGCTTGTTTAAACCACAGGAGCTGTACGCCTTGTGGTTCCGTCTGCAATCCTAGCGCGTGCATGTAAAGCTGATATGTGACCCCAGAACCTAAAAGACTTGCTATGTAACCTTCGAAACCCCAAACTCTATGATACTTGCTATGTAACCCATAAACCCTAAACTCTATGATACCTCCTATGCAACCCATAAGCCCTAGACTTACACAGATTCTCGGTTGGTGGGTCTCCTGGTCGTTGAAAGCTCCTGGTGGTCTTCACTCCTCCCGGCTTTGCCCCTTCTGGGTTGCCCAGAGGCTCATACCCTACGCCTTTTTCAGGGCACCACTAGTTCTTTAGTTGGGATCTGTTATAAAGAAAAGTAGGTATCCTAAAAAAGGGGTCGGGTATGAACCTCTAGGTCTTGCTAAGGAGCTTATAAGGTTAAGGCTTCAGGACTTCCTAGTAGTAGAGTAGGAAACCTTTGACCTTCTTGAGGTACTAGAATCCCTAGATAATCCCTCTAACCTTTAGTTCCCCATGAAGCTGGACAAGCAGCTCATATAATAGATGTCTATGGTAAGCATTATGTTTTCTCCTTGTGATGATAGCCTAATGTAAATTCTTCAGCAAGATAGCCAGCCTGGAGGATGCCCTTTTCAAACCCAAAGCCGTAAACCTGCCCACCTTGGGGATCCCTGATGCCTGTAAAGGCATGAGGATAATGATGTTCGAACTTTCTGGCTTCTACTTTATATCAAGGTCCCGCTCTAGGGTTGCGGTTAAGCTAAGGGTTTGTGGGTACGGTCAATCATGCTTTTGTCTCGCGTTACTTGCTCCAATTCAAAACACCCCCCTTACTACGTTGAAGTAGCCTACTTCCCCTGGCTCGTGCTACAGACGCTGATGCACTAACATAGGTTCTGATAGGTTGGTTCTGACCCTCACGAAACTAGGCTCCCTAAACCCTAAACCCAAGCTCTTGGAGCGGGTAGAGAGTTCATGCTTTCGGCCCGACCGCCTAGAGGCCTCCAACCCTGAACTCTGAACCTGAAACCCTGAAAAACCCGAGTGAAACCTGAACTCTGCGTCACCCAAACCCTGAACCCTGAACTCTACATCCCTAAACCCTGAGCTCTATTCCGGAAGCCCTGAAACCCAAACCCCGAAGGCCTACGAAGCCTTGACAATCCGCACTCTGTGAAGCCACCAACTTCCCGAAACCTCATCGCTAAATGCTGAGATAACCGTGCTTGGAGGTTTATGGTTGGTTAAAAGCAGGGTTATTCGTCCCCTCAAGGTCTATGTCACCTTACTTATATTAGTATTAAGGACCCCTGGGCCAAACCGTAGTAATCCGAATCTGACCCCGCAAGCCCCAAGGCCTGAACCTTGAGACGCGAAGCCCTCAAGCCCGAAACTGTCAATCCTGTAAACCCACCTGCGGCCTCCATTGTAGTTATCCTTTTGTTGGGTTACCTTACGGTCTTCTAGAAATAGTTTCAATTGGTCAAACCTCCAAGAAATCTAAACCCTAAACCTCTGAACCTCAACCCCCCCAAAAAGCCCCAAGCCAAAAGCGAGATCTTGAAATGGAGACTATAGTATACCCTAAACCCTAAACCCTAAACCCTAAACCTTTAGGCAGCCCTAGAAGTCCGACGGCCCTCCCTAGTAGAGTAGGTAACCTTTAACCTTTCTTGGGCTTAGGGTACCCTTAAGGGGTTCCTTTAAGGGATCTAATAGGGCGGTCAATAAGGGGCCCCTAGTAGTAGAGTAGGTGACCTTTAAACTTTAACCTTTCTTGGGTAGTTTCGTCCCTACCAGGGCCCGAATTGTACCCTCAAATAGGGGTACATGGTCCCAAACAATGGGTACTTAGGGTCTAATAGAGGGTAGATGGAGAGTCTAGATATATACTCTCTTTTTTTTTCCCAAAAAGCTTAACCTTTAGTTCCCCATGATACCCGACAAGTAGGAAATGATGCTTTAAAACTTTAAATTTAGGTTCAATCCTTCCGAGAGCTTTTTTAAACCACAGGAGCTGTAAGCCTTGCCTCGTAATCCGAAAGCCAGAAGAGTGTGGGACTGCGCATGGGATGCCAGAAGCCCTTGTCTATCGATCTGCACATGTGTCTGTCTCTTCTTGTCTCTGTGTCTCTATCTCTCTGTCTCTCTGTTTCTGAATTTCTGTATCTCTCTATTTCACTCTCTCTCTCTCTCTCTCTCTCTATCTAGCTATCTATCCGTCTATCCTTGCATCATGCAGCTTTTGGTTCAGGCCTTGTCCTCCCTGTTGGAGGGGGGTTCCGTCTAGGTCCCATCGGGTTGGGAGTGTTTGGGGCGCCTATAATCATTCATCAGCAGACACGCGCTCCACGTGCCTAAGCAAGCCCCGAAACCCCCAAGCCCTAAACTCTTCAAGCCCGAAGCCCCACCGCCATGTTTGCTATTCAACCCCGGCTCTAAGCTTACTAAGCTCATGGTAACGTACTTGGGAGTATGGTACCCTTATGTAGGGTCGCCGAGAAGCAGGGGCCTGACATAATCTTGTTATGTATGCTCTTTAGCAGTGTACCCGTCAGTTGAAGATCCCCAGTCTAGGGTTCAGGCTTGACCCCTTCTTGCTACCTGCAGAATGCGGCTGCTGAGCTCTTTCCAGGCCGGTTTAGGATCTGCTTTGGACTTGGGGTTTAGGGTTTTGGGCTCAACGTCTGGTTCATCTCATACGAAGCCTCCGGTTGGGGTAGACCAGGGGGTGGAGCACCAGTCGTGGATATTGTGCCAATGTAGGAACCTGGTTTAGAAACCCTGGGCCTATAACACCAAAACAGTAGGAGCCCTAATAAAGGCCCAAAGTTCTTTTTTTAAAATCAGGTTCCTACATTAGGCGATCCCAAACCCAACCACCTTTAAAATCAAGTTTTTTCTTCGAGCCCTAACCCTAATCTAACCTTACCCTATCCACCACCTAAACCTAAACCGAAAAAAGCACCTAAACTAAAATACCTGCTGGGTCTCCCTGTGGCCCAAAGTAGGCTCCCGAAAACCGCCAACATGGCCCTAAACTTTCTAAACCTACCTATAGTCTTCATGGTAGTTCCGTTTTGGGGTTACCTTATAGGATCCTAACTATATAATTGGTTAAACCCAAAAAAGAAACTACAATGGAGACTATAGGTAACCCCGGAAATCCAACAAGCGCTACACCCTTAACTGACTGGGCGCTTGTTCAAGAATGGCGGGTTATGTTCCCTCAGGTCCTTAAGTAAAAGATCTCACCACGCAGGGTCTATAATTAAGGCCGCATGATTACATGAAACTGCTTCAACTTTGCGAAAGATGTCTAGAGTTTGTAGGGCCACTTGGGGCTTGTGGGATTCTGCCGATTTGGGATAAGTCGGATAAGTATTGCAACAGTATATACATTCGGCAAAAACGCAATTCCTGTTTCGTACAGGCCTGGAATATTGATTACATCTAAATATGAAGCCCCTTACAATTTTAAGGCAAATTTCTTACTTCAGTAACGGACATTGGGCTCTCTGAGTGTGTCCAGAAAAAGCCCTCAAAGCATGGCTTGCAACTTTAGGGTTTTGGGGGAGTTAGTGGTTTCGCCGCATTGCCATGCTTATCATCACCTAAACCCAACTCACTAAGCCCCAACCCATCGCGCCTCAAAGCTGGCTTAGTGTTCCCAAAGCGTTCTTGCCACTGTTATGGGGGATACTTCCCCAAAATCATAATAGTAATTCCGAAAACAGAAACCTTACATTCTACTATATCGGTACATAGGACCCTTTGGGGTAATGCAGGATTTATATCATCAATCTTAACCCTAAACCCTTGAGATCCCTTAAAGGAACCCTAAAAGGTACCCTTATAGATCCCTTTAAAGGTACTTGGGACCCTTTTGGGTTTTCAAGGTTTCAAGCCTTCAAGGCTGTATTTGTTTCAGCCTCTGGCTCGGGATGGGGAGTTAAGGGCTTTGGGGCTCCTGCTTTCGGCTTTCTAAGGCGCTCTGAGGCAAATACAAGGCCAACCATAAGATCTTCTTAGGGGTACTTAGAAATAATTTTTGATTTTTGTTTATTATAATCCCTAAGAAACAGCTAAAATTATAATTTTTGCTAGGGTTTAAAGTTCAGTATAGTCTTGAGAAAGGCCTAAACCCGAATCTCGGACCTGCACCCTTTCGAACCCTTCCAGTAACCTGAAAATTTCATCGTATTCCATGCGGGGCAAGGGACCATCCAGTATTTAAGTGCACCTACTTTGGCCCCAAAGGCCCAATGTTTGATCCCTTTTGTTGCTTAGGTACATACGAGAAGTGCAAGTACAATACACCCTGAAAGAGATTGCTGTCGGATCACACACCTTAGAAGCTGCCTCTGTACTGCAAGACCACCACCCACCAGATGAGCGAGCTCTATCAGCTGCAAAAGGATCTCTTGTAGCATCATGATCTGGTTAACAGGGAGGAAGCTCTGCGTGAGTGCGAGCAGGCCCTCAGCGCCAAGTCTGAGGGAGGCGCCAATACCAGCCCTCCCCACCACCGTGCGACCACTACGGTGGGGTCTGCTTGTTGCCGAGCCGGCTGCCGCAACGATCGAAGAAAGGGGTTTTCGCAAGCTGCTTGGTACCTCTTTTCACGAGGCTCTCCGGAGAACCAAGGAGGCTGCAAGAAGGAACAAAAGGAGACCTTCTTCCCCACCGGCGAGAGGATCGAGCCGTGGTTCGGCGGTGAGGAGTTTTGAAACCCTAAACCCTAAACCCTTAACCCCAAACTCCTAAGCCCAAAACCCTGACCCCTAAACCCTAAACCCAGCCGGCTGGCCATCTCTGAGGTCGCTTTTCAGCGACTTGCAACGCACGCAGTCGACGGGTCTATGCAGCCCCTAGCTGTCAGCAGACCGTTTGACCAAGCCGCACATGTTGCTCCTCTGTGTGATGATGGTACTGATCCTCAGGGTGATGGTCAGAATCAGATAGGTCAGGGATCGGAACAAGGGGATGCATCACGGAAGATAATGGCCAAGAATTTCAGCTAGTGAGTTGTAGGATGGCCCACCTCCTGGGAACTTTCGAGATGCTTGTGCGCAGACCGAAACAGACAGCCCAACCTTAAATCCAAAGCCTAAAGCACTGCCTGGACCCTAAGAAACTTACCAGTCAAGGGTTCCTTGATATGGGAGTTTCCGAAAATAGGGGACCCTAAGATAGTACCCTAAATAGTAGGATCCTTAGTATAAGGACCCCGAGATAAGGTACCCCCCAATTTTCGAGAAACTCCCATATGGTTTTGTTATTTAAATATCCTTCACAAGTTAGGTTAATTTGAGTCAAATTAAACCATGAAGCCCCAATTAAACTCCAACCCTAGAAGTTTGAGTCACCGGACCGAGCGATCAGACTTCCCTCGTCGCTCTCTTGGCCCTCTGCTGCCGTCCGGGCGGCGCGGAACGCGTCCCTTGGCTGTTTTCGGGCTGCTGGTATTAGGGTTTTGGGGTTTCGGAATTAATTAGGGTTTAGGCTTGGGGCCTTTAGGGTTTTAGGGTTTAGGGTTGGGGACTTGAGGGTTTTAGGGTTTAGGGTTGGGGACTTTACGGTTTGGGTGTCAAGGTCGTTGGGTTTGAGGGGTTGCTGTACCTTAGGCATTTGGGGCCCCTTAAGAAAGACCCATGTATTGGATCAGTAGCAGACAAGTTCACGTAGTATGTCTACTCCTCAATTCGGCTGGCAACTTGGGCCTCCATATGTCATGGGCTTTATCATCTCTCTCTGTCTCTCTCTCTCTCTCTCTCTATCTCTCTCTCTCTCTATATATATATATATATATATATACACATAACTTAGCACAAATTATGCATGTACATGGTCTACTTACATACTCTATAAATGTATGTGTAGATATATATATATATATACACACACACCTACATACATGCATGCATGCATACCTACATACAGACGTTCTTTTGTGAGCGTCGAAGAGGCTCCAAAGTTGCTCTCATGGGGTTTTAAGAGTTGTGAATCATGTTGAAGGGCTTCCGGGCACAAGGAGCTCGTCAACCGAATGTGCTTGAAGCATTTCTGAGTGCTGTGTTGGGGTGTACGTAGGTTTCAATTTGGGAGTCCTACACCCTAAACCGGCTTATCCTGAAGCACCCAGGCCATAGAAGCGCACCTGGCTGCCGGCATTAGAGACCCATCAGCGGCTGCCTTGGCGATGATTTATTAGGGCTTGGGCACTGCCCCAATACAGTTTCGGGTCCTCAAGAGCCAGAAATTTTATGATTTGTCTTATACCCTTTTGTCTTGGCAGAAGACTACATGGAATAGACAGAACCTTGTTAGTCATGGTTACATCGCCTGGTCTGACACAGGGCCTCGAAAGCTTAGTATACGCAGCTGTAGTAGCAGGATTAGTAGGCGTAGTAGTGGTAGTAGAAGCAGTAGTAGGAGGAGGAGTAGTAGAGCAGCAGGAGGAAGAGTAGTAGTAGTGGTGGTGGTAGTAGTAGTAGTAGCAGTAGTAGTAGTAGTAGTAGTAGTAGTAGTAGTCGCAAGTAGTAGTAGTAGTCGTCGTCGTCGTCGTCGTCGGGTTTTTGCTCACTTTTAGCTGGGACCTGGGGGGGAGGTTTATGAATTCCAAAACCCAAGCCCTGGACTCCTCGTCCCTACAACCCTTATGCCCTCAATTAAGGAATATAGCTTAAATCACAATATGAAGCCCCCTAATATTTTAAGATAAGTTCCTTGATTCCAAGGTTCGAAGTATGAGCCCCTAATATGCACCCCTTGGCCTTTTTGAGGGAGTTCTAGGGACACTTAAGAGTCTATATAGGGTATATAGTAGGTATTTAGGGATCCCAGGTTTAAGGGCCCATACTAGGGGCCCATGGTTTCAACCGTTGATAAAACCGCTACAAACCCTTTGCATTGTCATGCCCCTAAAGCAGCTGCTAAGAAGCTCCTCCAGGATTGACTGGCCAGCAGGCCTCTCCTCCTTGTCTAGAAAGGCTCCAGAAGCGCGGTGGTCCATGATCAAGCTACTTTAGGGTCCGTAATCGGACAGCATTGTGGGGTATAGTATGCTACAACCATAGCAAGGAACCCCAAGGAATGATAATGGTATTCGTGATTTGTCAGGCGTTTATATTACCCGTGGTGGAGTTCTTGCCGTGTTGCTGCAGTGAAATTTCCTGAAAAAACGGAGGACCTTCATATCATATGCCTACCGGTCTGGTCGGGTGACGGTGCTGCAAGTTTGGATGAAGACCTAGGTGCATCTCCCTGGGAATGTACGGGCATGTGCTGCTGCCCACATTGGCTGACGAGAGTGACGAATGCAGAACAATCCTGCTTAGCTTCGGCTGTTTGAAGCACATGCTGCCAGTCTTGTCGCAGCATGTCACGAGCATCATAACACTCCATCGCGACGTGATCGGCAGCATTTTCCAGCTACTTGCTGGTCGCAAAGTCGATGTGGTCAAAATGCAGTGGTAAAGCTGTCAGCACTGCGAGAATTGTCTTCACTGCTCCCGAGTCTGGGGCCAGAGTCCAGAAGCCCACTGCGATGCAATATTCAGGAGCTCGGTGTGCTCTACTTGGAGGTTCATGGGTAGTTATAAGTAGGGTTATACGTCCCCTAATATGGATTATAAGTAGAATTACCCTATAATTACGCTATTTATAACCCTACTTATAACTACCCATGAACCTGCAAGTAAGAAGGTTGGCAACGGGGGGATAAACAATCAAGATGCGGAGCGTGAGGTAGTGTTGCTGGATGCCGCTTGTGGTTGGTGGTCCTTATAGAGCAGTTGTTGACTCCTCATAGATTAAGAGGAACCTCATCAAAGTATCCTGCTAAACCTAAACCCTGAAACCTTCAGTCCGTAAGCCGTATCCACCCTAACCCTAAACCCGAAACCCACTCCATCAGAAACCCTGGTAGAACCCCGAAGGACAATGCGACCCGAAATCCTAAGATCCCCAAAACCTGAACGTAAGCCCAAAAACCTTAAGCCTTAAGTTCCTAAGACCGGTAACCCCCCAAACTCTAAATCACTAAACCTCTGAATCCCGAACGCCGCGACCAGGAAGAGCCTTTTCCGACGTACGCCTCGGCGGAGAACCGGGACCTTTGTGTGTTTCGATGTAGGGGTTTCAGAGTTTTGGGTTGCTAGGGGTCCCTTGAAGGGCTCATTTAGAGGGATCTGTAAGGGTTTTGGGGTTCAGGGGGTTTAGAGTCTAGGGGTTTAAGGGTTTGGGGTTGCGGGGCTTGGGATGAGAAGGAGTGAGGGTTTCTTGAGAGGGATCCCTTAGGGGGTTTCTTTAAGAGCCATAGGAGATTAGGATTTGGGGTGGCGCTTCGAGGTTAATGGGTTAAGCGTTGGTTTAGGGGTTTGGTGTTTAAGGTTTGGGAGGTTAGGGGTGCAGGGTTTAAGGCTTAAACACGGTCTTGTTTGAAAAGCTTCTGTGTACGTCGGGGCTGTTGTAGGGTGGTCATATGACACTTATATGGGTAGTTGTCAAAATTAGGGTCCCTTTTTGGGTACCCTAAATATTAGGTGCCGTATTATATTAGGGCACCCAAAAAGGGACCATAATTTTGACAACCACCCATATAAGAGCAATGTCGATTGGTCTGAAGCAGGTCTTGTAGTTTGAGGCGTTTGAGCATTCTGAAAAGGTTGAAGATGGTTGCAAGGCTTCTCCCAGCCGTAAGGCCCTGAACCTTAAACTCTAAACCTTAAGCCCTAGACCCAAAACCCAAACCCTGAAGCTTAAGCCTATAAGCCTTAAGCCCTAAAGTTTAAACCCTAAACCTAAACCCAAGGCCATGGCATCGTGAGTAGATGGGCATCGAAATATGACGGCAGGTGGCATCTTGCACAGAACAACTATGTCGAGGCCTCTGGGCTCGAAGACCACACTATATCTGTGCCATAGTTGGGTAAGATTTTAGATTTTTAAGTGTACTTAAACCCAATAAGGAATACAAATTTGAATTTTTTAATACTATCCTAACCATGAACTAGATATCAGGAGCTTGGAATATGTTGAGCCTTAGGGACAAAGCCCTGCAAGGAAGCCGATTTGGAGAAGCTCACCAAACGACTGCAATATCACGTCGGTTCCCCAGCCTCGTCTTTAAAATCGTAATCTTTGCAGCATTGGGTCTTACACTGGTCATTTTTATCACACACCCACTCGCTGTCAGGTTTCCACACGCTTCCACGCTGTCATTCGTAGTCGACTTTAGACATGATGGTAAGGGATTGCGAGAACAGTTCTAGCTCGGCCAGGTTTTGCGTGTGCGTTTCGACGCCAGGAAGTCATAGTGAGTGAGCCTCTTCGGTGATTCCACAGCTGGCAGTCAGTCAGTTCATGTTAGTTCGCATTCCCAACATGCTGCAACATGTACGCAATTGTCAGGGTCCCTCTTGTTCGCGGCATCAGGTCTCACCTACTGGGCCTCTGCAAGAGTACCAGTCCCAGTTCAAGAAGAGCGACCAGGACGCTGAGATGAGGGTTCAGTATCAGACGCTCAGAACCCTGGCTTTGTGTGCAGTGGGTTTTGACGACACTGCGTATCTCTTTATCCAGACTCAGACTATCTCCCCAAACCTCAGCCCCCAAAAGCCCTACAGTCTAAGCCCTCATCATCTGAGACAATCGGTTTCTTCAGCCCTCTATCCCCAAAGTCGAGATTTCATGTAGAGGTTTCAGCATGCTGAGCGTATCAGATCTGTAGCGGGTATGGACGAGCAGTCGTAGTTTGTCTTCAAGCGCATGTCCAAGAGCCACAGACCTTGGTTAAGGATCAAACCCCATACCAAAGCCCGAAACAAAAGCCCTTTTCGAGAACCACCAACACAGGTCAATCAACCATCCACGCAGACGAACGTAAACGTGCCAATACTATACGAAGCCTAAGCCAAACATCTTGAACCTCCAACTCCCTAAGCAAGAGCAGAGCACTGCAGAATCAAGCAGCCCCCAATGCTGCATAAGACCCTGCCCAGAGAAAACTGAACACGCAGGAATCCAAGGGTAAAAGGAGGGACCCTTAATACTAGGTATATACCCTTAACATAGCTATTATATACCCATCATATAGCCCATTAGACGGTCCCTCCTTTTCCCCCATGAAGGAATATTCAGAAGCAGCTGAAGAGATGTACAAATCGCTGAACAAGTTCCAAGAGTCGGTGGGCATGCCTTGGCGGTGTCAGGGTTTCGGGCTTAGGGCTTAGGGTTTAGGGTTTAGGGTGTAGGGTTTAGGGTTTAGGGTTTAGGGTTTCGGGCTTAGGGCTTGCCTTAACCCCAAATAACTTACCTTTTTAAGGACCCATATAAGGAAATCATATTAAGGAACCCCAAAAAAGGTGGGTTTCTTAGGGTCCAGGTAGGGTTTAGGGCTCAGGGTCTTTAGGGTTGAGCTTGTGGAGGCTTTTCTGTGTTGAGGCTACATCTTCTGCCGCTGAAGAAGCTAAGCTAGTAATGAAAAAACTGAGCTGAAGTCACCCCGAGACCCAGTAGTATGACTACGGTACGTTACGGTTGCTTAACCCTAAACTCCCTAAACTCTAGACCTCTGAACCCTATCAAGAGGTTCATACCCCACCCTTGTTTTGTATAACAGATATTAAACAAGGAACTAGGTACCCTCAATAAGGCTTTCGCTCATATGGCTGAGAAGGGTGATTCTATTCATTTGGGTTCCATATTATATCTATACTCCCTAAACCCTATGTCTAAAACCGTGGCTCTGTATCCCGGAGCGATTATTCTTGAGGCCTCATTATTTTTCTCGCAATGCAGTCTTTCTAAGTAGAGTGGGTAACCTTTAGCTTTTGTTGGGCACTACTGTCCCTATAGAGTTCCAAAGGTGAACCTTGCGTTCCGCCTTAGGATACCGGACACGCAAGCATGATACCCAAAGCCCTATTCTGACTTCATTAGGAATCCTCTTGGAGGTTCCTTGCCGATTTCGGTCTACCCATAGGCCCCAAAGTAGTTCCTTTTCGGGATTACCTAAAAGGATTCTATATATGAACCCCCAAAAAGGAGCTACTTTGGGGCCTGAGGGTACTACTACCCTGCCACAAATACCTAGAAATCCACAGACTTCGGCAAGCTACAGGGTTTAGGGTGTAGGAGGGTTGAGGGTTTAGGGTTTAGACTAGACCCTAAACCCTAAACCCTAAACCCTAAACCCTAAACCCTAAACCCTAAACCCTAAACCCTAAACCGATTCTTGCACCCGAAGGGCCGAAGGGTCCATGTGCCCATGTGCCCAAACAGTATTTGCTGTTGTTAAATTACTTAGACCCGAAGGAACCTACCTTTTTAGGGTTTCCTAATATGGTTTCTTTATAGAAGTCCTTGAAAAGGTAGGTTAAGTGGGCTTAAGGTAATCCTCATTTATGTACCTTGGGGACCAAAGTGTGGACTATTTGGGTCCATGGACCCTTGGGAGAGAAACCAACAACCCAGAGGGGGAACGACCCTACGAGTCAGCTCTTCTTTTCCCAGACTTTCCGGGTCTCCGGGTCTCCATAGAAGTTACAGCGAACCCCAGAAAGTTGGAACATGGATTTAGGATGATTAGTGCTACTCATACTAGGGCCACGATGGATCATGATGTTCCAAGTTTCTGGCTTCGACTCTATCGCTAGGGGTACAACACCCCGCATGCACCTCTCAACTCCTGGCGCCCCAATACAGACCCATTAAGTCCTAGGTCCTAGCTTAAGGAGATTCCTCGACAATTGCGGGCATTGATTGGAAGCCGGGCAGAAGCTGAAAAACCCTGACCTTCACCGCAACTAGTTGCATCTTTCAGGCCCTCAGCCTAGGCGCCTGAACATGCGTACAAAACACAGAATGCCAAACCACAAGATCCTTGAACTTACACCTTGCCTACTAAACCCTACCCTAAACCTTCCCTCAAACCCCAAGCAATGTTTGCCTTTCCTCCGAGATCTCGGAATTCCGTGGCAAGATCGCTGATGTGAATAGCACCGGTCTCGGTCATTCCGTCATGGGTTGCCAATCTAGGCTTCTATGGCTGCGTATACCGTAGACTTATACACCTACGGCTTAGTCTCGCGATTCCCTGTATGGTTAGCCGTAGGTAGGAATTAAAGTTTTGTTTTGGTTGTTGTTTAGCACATCTTACCAAAAGAACCGACATTCCGCTCTAATTACAAAATAGGACTCATGATAGGTTTCAACAGGGGTATGTCTAGGACATCAATTGAGTGCATCTAAGCCCCCCTGGTTGGCTATTGTCCAATCTGATACCCAAAATGCCAATTTGAAGGGTTCAACGCTTACAAGGGTTTGCCAACGCCTTGTTCAACCCATATTCCATCGGAACTAACCCTAATCACTACTGTTTGCTTAAGAAACCCCCAAAAAATAAAAATAAGAATCCCTATATTACCCCCATAAGGAATATATTTTTTTTTATTTTTTGGGGGTTCTTAAGCAAATAGTAGATCAAGTATCTCTGGGCTCTTGTCGAGAAGCCTAAAAGTTCATAGATATTGAATACCATAGAATGAAAGCCTATTACGCAGCACATGTTGTGTGGTAGCGTAAGTTTCGCTCGTAAAGTTTTTGCGCAAACCCTGGATGAGCGGTGAACCCCTAAACCCGGAACCCTAGGATCCCGAAACGTAACCCTAAGGGTCCATGTACCCATATAGATATACATGAGCCGCCATGAGCCCTATATAGGGACTACATTGAGGCAGGCCAATGTATATACTATCATATACTACATGAGTACATGGACCCTGAGGGTAGGGCCATAGCGACCTAAACCTGAGCCTTAAACCCGCAAATCCCAAACCTTGCAGGCCCAAGCCCGAGCCCGAGGCTGCCCAGACTCCCAAACCCCTAAACTCCTTAGTACCCTAAACTCCTGAACCCCAACATGTGTAGGAACCTGATTAAGAAACCCTGGCCGTAGAACCTCCAATATATGAGGATTCGTCGAAGGAGCCCTACTAGGGACCCCAGGTTTCTTAATCAGGTTCCTACATTACCCTGAACCCCTTAAAGCCTAAACCCTAAACCCTAGAACCCTAAACCCTAAACCCCTAAACCCTAAACCCTAAAACCCTAAACCCTAAACCCCTAAACCCTAAACCCTAAACCCTTCAAACCCTAAACCCCTAAACCCTAACCCCTAAAACCCTAAAACCCTAAACCCTTCAAACCCTAAACCCTTCAAACCCTAAACCCTAAACCCTAAACCCCTAAACCCTAAACCCCTAAACCCTAAACCCTAAACCCTAAACCCTTCAAACCCTAAACCCTAAACCCTTCAAACCCTAAAACCCTAAACCCTAAAACCCTAAAACCCTAAACCCTAAACCCCGAAACCCTATAGATCCCTTAAAGGATCCCTTAAAGGAGCCCTATAGTCCCTTTAAAGGAAGCCTAAAACTGCAAAGGCCTAAACCCTAAGCCCTAAAACCCCTAAACCCTAAAGCCCTAAACCCTTCTAAACCCTTCAAAACCAGACTGAAAAAGGGCCCTTAAAAAAAAAAAAAAAAACCTTCAAACCCCGAGGCCGGAAGATCGAGGAGACGAAAGAGAAGATGTCGGTGCCGGGCTCGGGCTCTTCCTCGCTAAGTCGGAGTTTCCGAAAATAGGGGGGTACCTTAGGGTTCCTTTAAAGGGTTACTATAAGGGTTCCTTAAAGGGATCTATAAGAGTTCTATAAAGAGTTTAGGCCAGAAAGTTGGAATATGCTCAGGCTTCTTAGGGTTTAGGGTTTAGGGGGTTTAGGGGTTTAGGGGGTTTAGGGGTTTAGGGGTTTAGGGGTTTAGGGGGTTTAGGGGTTTAGGGGTTTAGGGGGTTTAGGGGTTTAGGGGTTTAGGGGGTTTAGGGGTTTAGGGTTTAGGGGTTTAGGCATCATAATCCCTTGAGGTAGAAGCCAGAAAGTTGGAATATGATTATCCTAAACCCTTCTATGGTAAATTATAGGGTATCCTAACATGAAACCATATTCCAACTTTCTGGAGTCGGAGTTTCCGAAAATAGGGGGGTACCTTATTCTGGGGTTCTTATGATAAAGATCCTACTATTTAGGGTACCATAAGGGTACTATAATAAGGGTTTAGGGTTGTTCCTCGTGGAGCTAAGTGCTTCTCGGAATTCGGGTTTAGGATTCGGGGTATGAGGGTTCCTTTAAACGGTACTATAATAAGGGTACTATAAGGGTGCTATAAGGATACTATCAGTATTCGGGTTTATCTCGGAGCTTCGGTTTTGAAGGTTTAGGGGTTGAGGGTTTTAGGGTTTAGGGTTGAGTCATGAGGGTTCAGGGTTTAGGGGTTAGGTTTTCAGGGTTTTTAGGGCTTAGGGTTCGGGAGTCAGGCTTGTTTGAAAGCCTGGGTTTTTAGGGTTAGCCGGTTGTCTACTTTCCGGGCAGGTTAAGGGTTGAGTTTGGGTGCGGAAGCCGGCGTTCAGGGCTTTTTTCAGACCCTTCTATGGTAGGCCGTGCAGTTTCGATGAAGTTCCACAGGGCTTTGGCTTCAGGCTAAGGGGGCGCTTCGGTGCAAAAAGTTCGTGGTGCTGACTGTTCAGGAAGATTCACTGCGGGGACCAGATACTTCCATGGATACTTCATATGCTGCCCTGCGAATCTGATATGGAAAACGAAGGACTCGGTCCCTTTTTCACGTTCCATATTGGCTTATGCTGCAGTACTGTAGCGACAATGGGCACCTTTGTGTACGTTGAGGGAGATTGGCAGATGCACATCGATCCGGCGGTGAAGCCGGGTGTCCGGGCCACTGCAGCCTAAGACCAAGTTCTACTACCCTGACGACGAGGTTTTTTGGTCTACTGATCAAGTCGACAGGAGAGCTCCAGGTGCAAGACCTATGCTCGCCGAAGTGGGAGAAGATCTACATTCGGTGAGAGAGCCGTTGCATAGGCCAACAAAAGAGATGCCGGACGGGTACGCGAAGAAGATCAAGAAGTACCGGTGTGATCTTCCCTTAAGGGTCCATGTACTCATATAGAGATACATGAGCTCCAAAGTATATAGGGAGTGCATTAAGGCCAATGTATATACTATATGAGTACATGGACCCTTAGGGTTCAGGATCAAGTAAAGGACCGTGAGGAGTCGCCCCCATCCGCCACGTGGACTGACGGCACGATCGGCGCTGTAGGAGCCTGTGCCGCGGCTTTCGGGCGAAATGTACCCCCAGACCCTGTTGTAAGAAAACGCTCCATCAGGAGTGCCTGGGGGAAAGGATGCTGACTCTTGGTCGTGACGTGTCTAGTAATTATGCAAGTCGTAATATTAGGATAGGGTTTGGGGTACAGCACGCTATAGTGATACTAACCTAGACCCCCCAACCACCCTCGATGCCCTAAATACCCACCATTAAGGACCATAAGGGCTCTATTAAATTGTACTTGGGGGTCTTGGTTCATATAAGTATACTATGAAAGACGCCCAAAATCCTCTTCTAATAGGGCCCCTACAATACTCATGCATCGCCTACCCTAAACCCTAAACAGGAAACAGACGAGCGAAGAGTAGGTGGGACCCAGTGCTCGGTTGTCCTAGACTAGGATGCCCAGTAGTACCCTTATTCCTTTTTTGTAGTCCTAGGTTCCTTATAAAGTTACCCAATACCAAAAAGAGAGGCCTTTTTGTTCTTAGGTTACTGGGTATCCTAGTAGATGCAGGAACCTAACCTTGGGGGTTTAGGGTTCAGGGCCTTGTAATAGATATCCTACAGCTCTTCTAGTGGGAAGTGAGACAGTAGTAACACCATGGCCTTGGTTTCCACGAGACCTTATCTACAGAATTTGCTACAAAACACCGACACTCTGAGCTTGCCAACCCTAAGCCGTAAACCGAAGCTCGAAATACTTTCCGGTCTGGTCCAGGACAGGACCCACAAGAGTGCAGACCTTAATGCCGAGCCAGCACTCCCAATGCAAACTTAGCAGTCACTTTGAGGGCCGCTTCAAAGGCTACTTAGTAGTGGAGTAGGTACCCTTGAACCTTTTTTTGTTTTTTTGGTGAACTGTAGCCCTTCTATAATCCCCTTAACCTAACTCTATGATACTGGACAACTAGGCAAACAGCGGAAAAAAACAACCCTCGATGTGCATCCTTCCTCAGGCCAAGCTACCTGGAGTTCACGGCACGCCAGGGATGGCTTGACTTTCCTTATGTCAGTAGATACGAATACACTTGGCAGATTTTGCTAGCTTTGAAGGTGTTTGGGCTTCAGACTTTGATGTTTCTGCATCTCCGGCTCCGATTAGCGAGGGAAGCGGCTGACGGAAGACTTTCACACAGAATCCGGCCTCCCAAAAATTTGGGTTGTCTCTGTATGGGTCGAGCGTACCCACCAGTGAGGCGTTGTGCTGTGTGGTACTGCTGATGGACAAAATCCTGCATTACCCATTATAAGGGATATACCATAGTTCCCATAGTTTAAAGTCCTTAGGGTCATGCAGGATTTTGTCCATCAACAGTAGTAGTCCTGCAGGTTAGTACACGAGGGGAGCAGACGGCCATCAGGTGCTTCCTGAATCCTGACACAATGCCATCAAACCCTTGAGGGAACCCTGACTCCAAGGGTAAAAGGAGGGACCCTGAATAAGGAACCCTAGGTATATACCCTTAATATAGCTATTATATACCCATTATATAGCCCACTATAGGGTAGGGGTCCGTCCCCATTTTCCCCTTTGACTTACAGGAGCCTGCGATGTATCAGGCACTTGCACCCTGAGGGTTTGAGGTCAGGAAGGAAAGGAGGCGGTTGACAACTTCGGTATTCGTCACGTGCTTGGGGACTGGAGCTGTCGCTCTTTCATCCCATCCCAAACCCTGGTGTGTTCCATTGCGAAGAACGCTCTTCTTTCCTGGGCTTTTCCGGAGTATAAAACTGAAACAGCAGTTTCAGTTTAATGAACCAGTAAGATTCCACCATTTTACAACAGTTTTCTGTCCCAGAGACCAACCGACAGATACTCTTCTTATTCCAATCGCAAGCACGTCACTCAAAGGTAACTTAGGCCTTAACTCCATGGACCCTAAACCCTACACCCTGACCCAGAAACCCGAAACCCCTGAAAACTACAACCACTAAACTATAAGCCCTAAACCCAAACCCCAAAGCCTGATTCCTGAACACTAAACGAGCCCCTTCGTTGGGTATCCAGACCAATACCCCGTGATAAAAGAATATAGCCCTAAACCGTAAACATGGTTCAGGGTTGAGGGTTTAGGGCTTAGTAACTGTTTAGGGTTTAGGGTTGAAGGTTGAGGCTTTAGGGTTTAGTACTTGTGGCACACCATATACGACGGACCAAGCTAATGTGATCTGAGCAACCGACTGAGCTTTCCGGCAGACACAGTCTACTGTAATAATGCCCAGCATGATTGCTGAAATTGCTCCTCCTTAGACAAAGTGTTGAAACATGGAACTCGAACTGCAGGTCCACATCCGCAGGACGAGTACTCAGAGACCGACGAGGACGCAGATGCGTTGCCTGGAAACTGAGAGGCCATTTTTTTTGCTGATGCTTGCATAGTGTTTGGCTGAAACGGGGTTCAAGGCTTCGGGTTGGGGGATCAGGGTTGTTAGCCTTTCGGGTACATCGGCGGTGGGCAGAGGGAACACAACGCATTCTCATTTCACCAAAAACTCAGGCCGCTGTGACCGTTTGAATTGAACTGAACTGAGTTTCACCTAGCAGTTAACCCCAAACAACACACGAAAGTTGTGACAAGGATCGGAACGCCACCCCACTCCCCCACCCAAACCCAAACTCCTATACCCCATACTTCAAGTTCAAAACCTTCGAAACTCTCAAGAGACCTGCACACCCGGAAGCCCTTGACGGTCCGTGTACCTGTAGTAGCACGCTGGTATATGCTTGGGCATTCGAAGGGGCTCCTATACAGGCACTGTAAAGCGGAAGTAGATGTGTGCTTTCTGTATTTTTATGTAGTATGTGGCATGTGGTGACTTAGTTTGTTTTCATGATTCGTGTATATGTTTACGCAAACATGCATAAACACATGTATGTGTATCTATACATATACACACATGCATATGTAAATATGTATACGTATATATATATATATATATATATATATATATATTATAATTGCATACTCATATTCATTCACACATCTTGTGTGTATGTGTATGTGTATACATATATATATATATATATATGTGGACGCCGTTTTGAGCCCGTGTTGATTACGCCTATACCTGCGCAGGTGAGCTCCAGTTGGTCCCTTCCTTGACTTCACGACGCAGCGTCCCTGTGCCCGGAAAGCAAAAGGAGCCCACAGGCTACCAGCCCCAAGACCCTGTACTTGGAGGTTCATGGGTAGTTACCGGGTAGTTATACATAGGGTATTATAAGTGGGGTAACTATACTTACAAACCATAATAGGGGACTTATAGCTAACCTGAACCCTAAAACCCTAAACTAAACACTAAATCCCTATAGGTCCCTTCAAAGGGACCCTACTTAGAACTACCCATGAACCTCCCAGTAAGACCTGCTTTTCCGATCATCGAACAAAATTTCCGGAAGCCTCTCTCAATCCTCCCCTTACACCCAGAAAGGCTTCATGCTACAGGGGCTTAAGGAAACATGGGCCCTGCAGTGGAACCTGTTCGCAGGGAATGAGACAAAGAAAAGAAAAAGAAAAAGAAAATACAAAATCAAAGAGAAGCAACAAACAAACTTGTGATTAGTGCGGGTCCGGGAAAGTTTGTCAGAAGGGCCGAGAATAGAGCAACCCAACACAAACACAGCGAGCCCCATCATCCCAAGAAGGCTACTGAGCGGCTCTTAAAGCTGAAGCCCGAGCCAAGGTTGTAGGATCCCAATCCCAATACTTAGTAGCTGAGTGGATACACTGAACACATTTTGCATCATTTTCCCCACTATAAACCCAAATGTGTACACTTTTGGGGCGCGTATGAACTCAGCAACTAAGAATAAGGCCTTCGTGCGGAAGTTATGGGGCTGTGGCTCATTGGGTGAAGTGGCTCATGTCTGTGGCCTCCGCCGTAGACATGCACTCGACGTACTGGCTTGCCAATAAAAGGTGTTGCTCTACAGGGTTCCAATGGATTCTTTTAAAGGGATTTTTTACGGTCTCCTTCGAGGGATCTATACAGGGTTCCTTTTAAGGGACTAGTTGTATACTTGGAGTGTTCGGCAGAGGACCTAAACCCCTAAACCCTGAAGGCCCTAAACCCTAAACCCTAAACCCTAAACCCTAAGCCCTAAACCCTAAACCCTAAACCCTGAAGGCCCTAAACCGTGTCAGCCTGCTGATGCCTGCTGCAACACTCGGCTCAAGCCTCCACAAAGCTACGAGTAGGATACCTACACCCCAAACTGGGACCCCTCCGGCCGAACGCATGGGGCTTAATAAAGCCTTTGGGGTATTATAATAGGTATATAGTATAGGGTTTAGGGTTTAGGGTTTAGGGTTTAGGGTTTTAGTATAGTGTAGTATGGTATAGTAGAGTATAGTATAGTATAGGTTGTAGAAGGAATCCTGAGAGAGTGACCATTCAGCCTTCCATATTACACAACACCCGAGGTCAAGCGAAAATCGTTCTGGAAGCATGTGCCTCAAGTGCTAATCCTCCTGACTACAAACCTGAAAGCCCGGTTCCAGTGGCCTAAACGGCCTAAACCCACGAAGGATGCACCAAACTCCAGAAACGGCCGAAACGAAACTTTAAACCCCGAACCCTGCGCCCTAAACCCTAAACCCCGAACCCTGAACTCGAAGCCCTGCGCCCTAAACCCTAAACCCCGAGCCCTGAAATCGAAGCCCTGCGCCCCAAAAAAGCTTTGCAACCGGAACGCCAGGACGAGAATCTGAACCTTACTCGTCCTTCCGTGCTGTTTCCAGAAAGCCCGATACCCTCTCTTAGCTAGAGCGCGGTCTAAGGTTTAGTTAGGTTTTAGGCAATGTAGCTCAAATCATTTTTTGGAGGATCTCTAGAGGGGGCCATGGGTTTTTTTTTTTCGAAGGTGCGGCCAACCCTTGTTTGCGAGGTGCGGCCAAGGGTCCCTGGTGCATGCGGTCCCCTGGTCCTCTGGTCCTTGGTCCTGTAGTCCTCTGGCCCTCTGGTCTGCTGGTCCTCTGGTCCCGTGCTCTCCTGGTCCCGTGGTTTCCTGGTCCTGTGGTCCGCCGGTCCCTCGGTCCCGCAAAAGCAACAAAAAAAGCAAACAAGGAATAACACAAATAAAGCACAACCCCAGAAGAAAGAAAAGCAGAAGAAAGATGATGAAGGAAAGAACGCCAGGAAGGAAGCACAAAAGAAAGCAAGAAAGCACAGGAGCTAGCAAGGAATGAAAGAGAAACAAGAACGGGAACCCATTTTTGTTTGTGCCCTTTTTTTTGGCCCTCTTTCTTTTGCTCCCACGTCCTGTTATTTACACAGGGAAGGAAGAAAGCAAGGAAAAAAGGAAGGAGGAAGGAAGGAAGGAAGGAAGGAAAGAAGAAGGGAGAGAAGGAAGGAAGCAAGGAAGGAAGGAAGGAAGAAAGCAGGGAGACAAGGAAGGAAGGAAGGAAGGAAGGAAGGAAGAAGGATCGAAGGAAGAAAGGAAAGAAGCAAAGCAAGGAGGGAGGAGAGCAACGAAGGAAGGAAGGAAGGAAGGAAACAGGGAAGGAAAGAAAGAAGGAAGAAAGGAAGGACGGTAGTACTTCAGTAATATATATATATATATATATATATATACATAGTATACATAGTATACATAGTACATGTTGTATATAAAGTATGTATATTATATATATATATATATATATATATATATATATGCATATATAGTATGTACAGTAAGGATAATATATTATAATATAATATAATGGAATATAATATAATATATTATAATATAATGTAATAAAATATAATTTAACATAATAAGATATAGTATAATATAACATAATGTAATCTAATATAATGTAGTATAATATAATATAATGTAATATAATGTAATGTAATGTAATGTAATATAACATAATATAATAAAATGTAATATAATGTAATATAATGTAATCTAATGTAGTATAATATACTGTAACATACTACAACATAATGTAATATAATAAAGAAATACAATATAATATAAAAAGATATAATATAATATAATATATTAGAATAGAATATCATATAATAGAATAGAATATCATAAAATAGAATAGAATAGAATAGAATATCATATAGAGAATATAATAGAATAATAACAGAATATTAATATAATAAACATATAGAATATAATATAATAAAATTTTAATAAGAAGAATATAATATAATGTAATATAGATAGAATAACTAAAATAGAAAAGAATATAACATAAGAGAATATATATAATATATACAGTATATAGAGTCTATATAGTTTGTTCATATACATATATATAGTTTATTTATATATATATATATATAGTATATATAATATATATATATAGTATATATAGTATATATAGTATATATAGTATATTTAGTGTACATAGTATATATAGTATATATATATACAGATATACATAGAGTTTCAATATATATACATATAGTATATGTAATAAGTACAGGAGATATAACCTTAGGATATATAGTTTTTACAGTATATATAGTATATATAGTATATTTATAATACATACATATTTATATAGTATATGTAGTAGAGTTAGTATATATAGTATATATAGTAGATATAGTAGATATTATAAACATTGTATGTATATATATATAGTATATATAGTGTAAATAAAATATATATATATATATATATATATATATCTATTTATATAGCATATATATATATACACAGAGAGAGAGAGAGAGTACATATGTGTGTATATAAATATAGATACATATATATATATATATATATACATATGGAAGGTCTATTATTTTGGATCTTGTTGTTGAAATTTTTGTTTGGTGTTTTTCCATGGTTTTCCTTGGGGAAACACTATTTTCCTCACGTTTTGGACAGATTTGGTGTGATTTTCTTGGTTTTTTCCACCTGAAACGAAAAGAACCCAGGAAGACAGAACGAAACACCCCAGAACAAGGACCAAAGCAAGGAAGAAGAACAGAAAGAAAGAAAAGATAGAAGGAAGGCAGACGGTTGGAAATTCAGGTTCGGAACCCAGGTTCAAACCTGGGTTTGAACCTAGGTTCTAATTCGGGTTAGAACCCAGGTTCAGAACACGGATTTTCTCGGGTTGTTGATTCAGCGGGGTTAAGCGCGAAGCAACACAATCAATCATGAATGACTTGGAAGTTCTCTTGAGCCACGAAGTAATCAACAATAACGTGTTTGCCAACCGGTCGTTTGAGCCGCCACGAAATAAATAAAACCGTGTTCGCCAACACAAAAAAAGAATAAAACCAGACAACACTGCTTCAGGGGGGTTTAACGTGAAGAAGACAAAATCAATCCTGAAGGATTTAAAAGGTTTGCAAACGGGGGGGGCTGCGCCCCCCCAACCCCCCCGCTTTTTTTA